TTGATACGTTCTCTTTGGTAGCAACATAAGAAGAGAACATATCTCTATTGGAGCATGCATGACAAGTAGCACCCGTATCTAACCACCAACTAGAGATGTTGCTTGGAGTTGTTACCTGAAAGAGCATAGCCACACAATCATCAACTTGATTGACATTGTGTGTTGTTTCCTTCTTTGGTGCTTTGCAGTCTTTGACAAAATGTCCTTGCTTCTCACAGTTGAAGCATTTGCCGCTCCTCTTGAACTCCTTCTTCTGAACGTTCAGGTTCTTCGGATTCTGATTCTTCTTTCTGTTAAAAGACTTCTTCTTCTTGAAAGATGAATAATTACCCTTTTCAGAGTTAGCAGTCACCATGTTAGCAGACGCCTTATGCTTAGCAAGGAGCTCAGTCTTCGTGCGAGTCCGAGTCTCGTCCTCGATCCGAATGAACCTCTTCAAATCAGACAGAGTCACCTGTCTTATCCTTCTTCGAATGTCAGTGGAGAATGACATCCAAGATAAAGGAAGCTTGTTGATAATTGCACCAGAAATGAAGGTTTGACAAAGACTGATTTTTTCATCCTTCAGCTTCATAACAAGCTTTTCAAGCTCTTTGACTTGAGGCAAAACCTCAGTATCATCTTCGAACTTCAAGTCCAGAAATTTGTCAATGAGGTGAGATTTGGACAGCTTCTCCTCATCCTTGTACTGGTCCTCCAGAGCATTCCAGATTTCCTTTGCAGAGGGCTTGTTGGTGTAAGCATCTGCCAGATGATCGGCCATACAGTTAAGAAGATAACTCCTGCAGAAGTGATCATCTCTAGCCCAAGAGGCTTCAGCTTCAGAGTCTTCTTCAGAGTCAGGTTTCTCCTCAGAAACCACATAGTAGATTTTCAGGAGTTGCATCCCGAAGATCACTTTTCGACGCCATGCGTTGAAGTTGGATCCGTCAAAATTTTCTAACTTAAGACAGTCCACTCCAAGAGTCATCGCAGGATCCATGGTAGATCGAAATAATGCTTTAAGATTGTTGGCGCCTGTGGTTAAAACTGGAATAATACAGATATATAACAGCAAAAATCTGAACAGAAAATTGAAGGACAGTAATTTAAAAATTTCAACTCAGCTGCTGTGCGTTTGTAAAACGCTGTGCTTAAAGTATTATTTGGCCTACTTCGGTGCAAGGATCCCAAGGTCAAATTGCTTTCAGGAACAGCAGTCCAGTACTCTGGTGTGCACCGACCCAGTACTGTCAAGATCTCCTCGATCTATAAGGCAAAGATCTCCTCGATCTATTAAGCAAAAGATCTCCTCGATCTATCAAGCAAAATTCCTATAAGCACCAGCTATTTTACAATCTATATCTGTATATATTGATTGTTGTTTTTGGAATGAATTTTTCTTAAGGATTTGAGGTCTATTTATAGCGTTTGAAAAAATACTATGCACTAATAAAATAATATTATTTACTATTCATGTGGGCTCCACACCCAAATTATTTTCACGTTTTCATTTTTTCTTCAACTTTGGCTGCAGGATGGTGCCAACCATGAGGAAAACTTTTGTTGTGGGCCCCACCACGGTGGGGCCCACTTGATTAAAAAAAATTATCTAACATTTAATATATAATCATCTTAATTATGAAAAAGATTTTACTTTCCAAATTAAATGACATTTACAAATAAAATAAAACAGATCGTGTTCTTCCAAATAGGCAGTTCGGTGCATATATGTAAGAAAAATCCTCCGCCAATTTGCCCCTGCTTGTCGATATCTTCCCAGATTGGACTGATGATAGCTCATGGATCATAACTCATGAAGGTTTGGAGTGACTACATTATCCCATTTATTTGGGCAAGTGACTGTACTCATATTTCCTACGTACCAAAAGGGAGGATGATGGCCGCAAACAAAAACGCGAGTCGAGGGCTCAAGTTGAGGGGGACTTGCTGTTTGATTTCTTGCTCCCACCAAAGGCAAAGAAAAAGGCTAGATATGTTCCTGCAAGTCGAAGCAAACAGCTCACTATTTGCCATCTTACGCAGCTGAGGTTAACTTCGATGGTGATGGTGCACGACAATTGAAGCGATTAGCACACAACATTTGTCATTTGAGATAAAAAAAATCATCTAAAGATGAATAATTTGACCGTTATTAGTTTTACGATTAGCCAGACTAAACAGTCAATCCTAATCCAACCCAAACCGCTGCGGGCCTCATTAACAGCGTGAATCGGAGGAGTTGGGATGGATTGAGGATAAACCCACCTCGATCCAAACTGTGAAAATTCACCACTTACGAGTTTACAACTCATTTTGCTAAATGAGTTAACAAAAGATGGACAAGCTGAAAGATCCATCATACCAATCAACGTCTGATCAATGAATAACTTCACCGTAATTAGCAAATGAGCTGACGCTTCATAACCAGTAAACTCATTATATAAATGGGTGATACGCTCTCCTATCTACACATACGAGCATGAAGATTCCCATCCAAGTCGAACAATGAAAAAACTTCTGCATCAAACCCAACAATACACACACGTACACGAACTTGGTACCAAGGTTCTCCATATTTCTCATATATGAGAAATATGGGGAACCTTGGAACCAAGTTCTTTCATTGAACTTGGTAGTGAGGTGGCCAAACCTCACCCCTACATCATGCCTCGAAGATGGAGCCTCTTTTATGGAGTAGGTAAATAGTGATTGAGGTTCTTTCTTCAAGGCATGATGTAGGGGTGAGATTTGGCCACCTCACTACCAAGTTCAATAAAGAAACTTGGTACCAAGTTTCTCCATATTTCTCATATATATATGAGAAATATGGAGAAACTTGGTACCAAGTTTCTTTATTGAACTTGGTAGTGAGGTGGCCAAATCTCACCCCTACATCATGCCTCGAAGAGAGAGCCTCAATCACTATTTACCTACTCCATAAAAGAGGCTCCATCTTCGAGGCATGATGTAGGGGTGAGATTTGGCCACCTCACTACCAAGTTCAATGAAAAAACTTAGTACCAAGTTTCTCCATATTTCTCATATATATATGAGAAATATGGAGATTTCTTTATTGAACTTGGTAGTGAGGTGGCCAAATCTCACCCCTACATCATGCCTTGAAGAAAGAACCCCAATCACTATTTACCTACTCCATAAAAGAGGCTCCATCTTCGAGGCATGATGTATGAGTGAGATTTGGCGAAGCTAAAGCTGAAGGAGAATACACAAAAATAGCATCTCTCAGATCACTTCTGTGGATTCTATTGTTGCCGGACTTCTTCTTCTTCGCCATTGAGAACAAGGCAGAGGTGCAGTTTAGCAGGGGATAGATCGCCTGCTAAAATGAGCCATTAGAGCTGCCACTTTCTTTACTATCCTTCGATCTACTTTTGTCTACTAAAAAATTATTTGTTTAGTACTAAATGAACTATCAAATCGAACTTGACCGAATATCTAGACAAATAATAACCGAACTATTTATTGATTATTCTATTGATTTCCACCTAAGGGTGCATTCGGTCCGGATACGGCTCGGATATGATGCTTATCATACCCATATCCGCTTACCCATCTTGGATACGGATACGGTTACGGATATACCTCGGTAAGAAAAATTCATATTCATATCCGCTAAAATCGAATACAATCACGGATATAAATGCGAATATGCATGTAGATACAAAATGGATATGAGAAAACTAGATAGTATTGAGAAAAATATAGTTAATGTGATACAAAAGAGTTCGTTAGTATGTTCATTATAACTAAAAAGCTAAAATTAGACATTGATCATCAAAATTAACCACAAATTCATAATCTAAGAATTAAAACTAGCATAAGAGTATGATTAATATGTATTCGGATATTTCGGACACAGATATAAATATTTCACTACAAAACCATATTTATAACAATATCTTATCGATTATAGATTTGAGTAACCATATTCGTATCTTAACGGATATGGTTGCAGATATTTCCTCAGATACGGATACGGCTTAACACCCCTAATAACCAACCAAATATATGTTATATGTAGCATCACTTAAAACTTCTGATTTCAACCTTTGTAATCCAAACTACAATGATCGCAACTGTAGGGTCTCAAAAAAGATACGAAACGATTGGTTTTCTTTAACTGTTTTAGTCGTGAAATGAGATTTTCTCGCTTGATAAAAATCTCTTTTACAATCACTCTTTCTCAAGTACAGAAGAGGAGAAGGTTGATTTGACTTCTCATTTGTTTAACGTGGGTTCTGGGTGGCGAAAGGATGCCTCACTTGATGCTTGAGTCGAGCTTGCTTCTCGTTGACAATCAGAATAAGATCGCTTCCACTTGAGAAGAGAATCAGCTACTGTTGAGTGCTTGAGCCGCCGACGGTGGCTGCTGTTGATTTTAGATCGCAAGAACCGAGGTTCGGATCTCAAACTTGAATGCAAAAGCTCTGCCTGGAGTGCTCCTTGCGCGAATGTCCAAGTTGCAAGATGATCCCTTTTTCATAGCTGTGTGCAACTATTTATAAGCCTCTAACGCGTAACTGATGCACTGAATGTGGGGTTGAGGGACATAACTGACTCCTCAAATTTAGCCCACGTGGGTTGACTCAATCTTCAGGACCATTACAGTCGAACTTCATTTGGTATGTCTGGCCTCGCAGCGTGGCGAGGTTTGTCTAATGAGACGAACCTCAGTACGCAGTGAGGTTCGTCCAACAAAGCGAGCTTTGCTATATGGTGAGCTTCGTCCTCTGAGAAAACTTCGTCTTCATTGACGAGTTTGAGTTTCGTCTTCACTGACGAGCTTCAGACTTCACCTCCAATGACAAGCTTTATTGTCTGAGACGAGGTTCGTCATTGTGATGAACCTCGTCATGTCTGTTATGGGCTTCGACGCTCACTTGTTTCTTGGCATTTTTTAGTGCCTACAGCTACTAGGAGCAAAGGCAACACTAGATGTGCAATCTGGTTTTCTACAACAAAATCAATAGCCTGAAATCGAAAGCATTTCAAAAAACTAAAAAGAACTGAAACTGACAACTGCCTAAGCTGTCCCCCATTGAACAATTCATGTACAACTGATTGAAAACGTACAGGCTCTCAAGGATTACATAAGGAACAAATCTCAATTACTAGTTCTCACTCACAAGTTCATGCTATAGAGAATATCGATTCCTTTCTCAGATGGAAATTTGCAGAGAAATTGCCTGATAACAACAAAGTCCATCTCTTGATATAAGCTAGTGTCCTCAACTGGCAGCTGATGCCCATTCTTTCTTGATGTCAAACGTATAATTGATCTCCAAGTAGCATTTCCCATCATCATCAACAAACTGTTCACAAAAGAGTTTTTAGCTTATCAGAATGTTCAACAAAGACAAAGACCAGTTTATAATACGATAACAAAAATTCACACAATTCTCCAATAACAGATAGAGACATGAACTTCTGTTCAGAAAGAAAACCCACCACTTTTTTGGATAGGTAAATTCTGTTCAGTATATGATTCATGCCCATATTATTGTCACAATAAGATTTAAGTTTGAATATGTTCTAGCTACATCTGAGTGTTTTGACATAACTAGACCGGGCCGATGATATTGTCACAATATTGTATCAGTAGAATTGCTTTCATGAATACAATGACATAACTTCATCTAGAACTGGGTAATTACAGGCAGATTGATGGGCACACATTATTCTCATCAGCTCTTTAGTCGGGATGGGTGTTGATGACCCCAAACCATATCCACAGAATATCTATTACGTACTATAAGGAACAATCTTCATTAATATGTGTTATATTTATCAAATGGATGGAGGTATGAGCATATCAATTTGACTCCTAACAAAATAACAGGCATTAAACACATGGAGAGGTGAAAAGAGATGGATAATATCAATAGGATCAAGGTTTTAACTCCCTTCATATGGCCGAAAAGAGATGGATAACATCAACAGGAGCAAGGTTTTAACTCCCTTTGAATGGCTGGTTGGATTAGGTAACGTAAAAATCCTTTCACACACAAATTGTGCTGGGTTCTGGTTCAAGTTATATTTATACAAGATCAGTAATAAAATTATCCTCTACTAAATACCGGTACTGGAAAAGTTTAGCATGCACCACAATCATTAACATAGCCATCAGCATGGTCATACTTTCATGTGAAGATATTTATCACCAGAACTCATTTCAAATCAAGATCCATAACATATTCTACACCACAGAAAATTAAAAGAAAACAAGCTATGTATTCTACGCCACAGAGCATGTAAAAGAAAAATAAGCGATAGAAAATATAGGTGAACATACCCTGGTTCTTGCTGAATAGGATCCTCTTGCGAACATTCCAGCTGGAGTGGTCTCTTCCGGTGTCTCATAAACATAAGGCTCGAGCTGAGGACTAAAGGTACCCAACATTTCTTTTGCACTCTCCACTGAAATGGGAATCAATGAAAGTAAATATCAATGCAATTCCAAAAATCATATATAATTATAAAATGGTGGTCAACAATAGGAAAGAGGAATAACCTGCCATATAATAGGAAACGTAAACTGTTCCCTTGAAACATTAGATAATTAGAAAAAAAGGATTTGTCACTCTGTTATGCGTGAAAGATCGAAATAGAACCAAAATGTGCACAGTTTTAGAGTGCTGAGAGTGGCGCTATCTTTTTTCTTGAGTTTAAAAATAGATAAGAATATACTATATAATAGATAGTTACAGTGGTGCTCTCTTATCTTTACTCTATTGTAACAAGTCAATTACATAGGTTGGAGTCTTATAGGTCCACGATTTTATTTTCTGAATGTTTGATTTTTCCTACCGTATAATTATAGAGAGATTTTCTTTGGATGTTTATCTTATCTTATCTTTTTTTCCCCTTCTTATTTCTTTACAATCATGCACTCCCTCTCTATATAGAGGTGGATTATTCCCATTCTTTCTTTTCCTACAACATTAAAGGCTAGCGGAATTAATGTCAAGAGATCTCCTAATCATTCCCAACATATCCTAACAAGTTCTCCAAAATCCATTTTACCAATTTCAGAGTAGATCAGGGTGCAGACCTGCCACCACTAACTTGATCAGATCTCATCTCCTCTAATCCAATCAACTTCCCAACAAACTAGGACTGTACCCAAGCCAACAAGAAACTCTGAGATGGTGTCTTAAACAAAATTCCTGCCTTCGGTAATTGATGAAAGCCGACTGATTAGGACGCCATTGCTAAAAAGTGTTACCAAAAGCCCAAACCAAGATTGCTGAAGGCTTATATGGTTCTGAAAAGTTTAAACGAGTCCTTAGTTATTTTCAGTTTGGCCTGAAGACTCCAATAAAATTGCTGTCTTCCACATCACAACTTTTGATCTCTGGCTTGAACCACCAAGACCACCACCGCATCATTCTCTCTACTGCCATCATCACATCTAATGCCTTTCCTCCATGTATCAAATTGAGCCGTCCATTGGATAGAACACCATAGTCGACCCTCTGATTTTTTTCTTTCAGAAAATTAATGTTCTAATAGACCTTCTTAGGATACTAGTAACTTTGTTTTATATAGCTAATTTTATTTATTGATCCAAATGCCCAATCCCACCATTCTCCTGAATTCAGCAATTTATTTATCTTTTTTTTTTCCAGATTTTAACAGATGTGGGGAAGATTTAAAATAACTAACCGTATCTCATCCTTGATCAAACCTAGAGAAGATTGAAAATACAACAAACTTTTTATCTCATCCATAGCCATTGCTTGCTTTGCAGAATAACAGATTTACAGTTCTAATTTAATTATTCAAACATCAAAGTTTATTTTAATTTTACAAATTACTTAATGCACTGTTACATTTTGTTCTATACTTCCATTCCTAAAAGAGCAACATATATAAGTTCATAGATAGCATTTTCTTTTAATTTTGTATAAAAGCACATATATAAACATGTGTTATTGAAGTATAACTACAATTATCTAAAGTTAATTCGTGACGTTCTACTATGACAATGTGAACAATAAACAAGAAAAAAATACATGCATCTACCCTTTCTCCTGGAAGTGACTTATATATTTATTTCGGTCTTGCATCTACATGGAAACTCTACAAGATAAACCAATTAAATTAACCCTCGCCCTCTCAACTGCAAACAAGTGTAAATTTCCATTAGTTCCCTGATAACAAAAGACGAGGAAAATGATTCAAATGTACAAGCAGATTGAATCCCCTCTATAAGTGTTTGAGATATCATGAGTGAATTTTATAATGTATATGACTTGTACCATCTGAAGAAAGATGATTTACAATTCACAATGATTAGTTGCTTATCTACTGGATAAATATTAACCATTCAAATGTATTAAGGAAATCTCGTGAATGATAGAAATGGGAAACATTAAGCATAATAACTATGTACCATAGCTCAAAATTTTTCGTGAGATAGACAACTCACCCTTGACGCCAGTTTTCCAAACTGTGTTAGTGTATCGCAGGCCAGAGACAATATTGTTGCTGACTAAGAAAGAGAACTTGAGCTTATAAGGGCTCCCTTCCTTCAGAGTAAACCACACCCCCTTCGGATTTGGCACCACAGGAACCGGGAGGACTATATCATCTCTACCAGGAGAGAGTATTGAAAGATTCTGGATCTTAACCTCTGGTTCCAAAACTTCTGTATCATGAGTAAATGTGAGAAATTTATCCAAAAAAAAAACATTTGTGCTAAACACAACAATGTGACTACATTAGACTGCGAGAGAAAGGACAACACATTAAGGACCCACTTCCAAATTAGAGTGGCTAGAGCCTATTTCAAGAAGACATTGGCGATCAAAATCTGTACTTCCAGCACCTTTTTCTAGAATATGAACGTGGACAAAGAGTTCTCAAGAAAATATTTCGGTATAAATGCTAATCCATTTCCAAAGATTACGGGAAAATCAACATCTTACAAGTTATTATAGCATAATTAAGCTAGCTATGACCAGAAATCAAAATGTATAATTATGCGATGAAACTTAATGATCTACTTCTTTCTCATTGATCTACATGCTATTTAGGAGTGAATCATTCAATCATATTGTACATAATACAATTTGGTCATGGAGCATAGCTTAATTATATGGTAGCTGTGTGTGTGTACTATCTGTGTAATAAATATTATAAATTTGTCCTTAAGAAGAAAAACAATAGGGTTTGTGCAATCACATTTAAATACGGTGGCATTATGAAGCTACCTTTAAAGTTCAGTTGATATAGAAACCAAGGGCTTTCCTATAGCTATCAACCACCTTAACAAACTTTCTGGTGAAATTTTGGTTGAAGCCCCAAAATGCTCTTGAAGAACACATTCGCCAAACAAGTAACGTGCCTTCTTGACCAAAAACCTAAACCAAAACCCTCTTATTAAGAAGAGATGTCATGTGCCTAGCAGATGTGCTTTTAAGAGCATTTTTGAGGATTTCAATTGAAAATTCGGAAAATAGACCAAGCAGTTGATTGCTATCAGAAGCACCTTTAAAGGTGGTTTCTCTATGAATTAAACTTTAACGTATTCACACCAATTTTCAACGTGTTTTCTTTGAAAAACCCAACCTTCTCTCTCCAAAAAAAACTTTCAAGGGGAAGAAGGACAATATTCTATTAAGGAAACATTCTAAAGACAAGATATTATTAAGAGAACATCTTTGGCCTGTTTGGATGGAGGGTAGAGAAGGGGAAGGGAAGGGAAATTTCATTTTAACCTTGTTTGGGAGTTTCATTTAGAAAGGTAGAGATGGAGGGGAAATTTGGCCTAAATTCTTACACCCCAAATTGGGGTGTAATGGAGGGAAAGGGAAGGAAGGGGAATTTTTTCCCTTCCTTCCCTTTCCTAATAAGTAAACTCCCAAACACACCACTTATGTCCTGAATAAAGTTAAGTTCCTACATCAAACAAACAATTCCAACTTCAAAAACTGGAAACCAGGACCAAGGAGAAAGGTTCCTTCAACAAATAAAAAAGCTTAGGACAAAAGTTAGGGACCCAGTTCCAATGTAGAGCCATTATTTAATGATGATGAAGTGTTAAGAATCCAGTCAAGATCTTGACCCTTTAATTATTTTTCTACAAGAAGTGCAAAGTTCATAACGGAAACAAGACAACATGAACCGTTTCCAAGAAAGTCAAATATTCTCAGGATATATGCTCACATATCCAGTCCATCAGACACATTCAAGAAAAAGGGACAAAAAACCTTCAAATTTGAATATAATATCCATTAAGCAGCAAACATTCACCCTTAATTAATTAAGCTTAATAAAACATAACAATCTCAAAAGATAAATAGATCCAGAAGTACGTCTACCTGAAGATATCCTAAACTAAACGAACAGGATTAAAAGATGAACAACGTATTTGAGGGCAAAAAAATATTTTCGGAAGCCAAATAAAGTTCTAACGCAAAACATGTCGATAAACATCCTTTCATTTCATAATTTCTTAATTGAGGGAAATTAACCAATCCCATAAGCTAAGAAAAATATACCAGCCCATAATATAATGTATCTATTATCAAAGGAACCAAGAGCAAAACACATGAAATCTTTGAAAGGTTACGAATAAAAAAGGCTAATAAACAAAACAAAAAGTTAAGGAAAAAGAAAGGGTCGAATTACCTCCAACAGAGTTCAAATCCACACTTCCTAAGAGTTGCTCCTTCCATCTCCTCAAACTCTCATCATCCTAAAAAGAACAACACAAACAAACCCATGAAACGAATCTTTCAACAAGTTTGGGCTTGTTCCGTATACAATACCTTATCTTTCTCTATGTGCTGTCTAAGGCTAAACTGAGGCCCCAAATCAATCAATTTCGAAACTTTTCCTTCTTCTCCCTCGTCCTCCTCTTCAGTTCCATAATTGGAAGTTTCACTCATCGTTCTGTTATGGGTCACCACCTTCCCCTCGCCATTATTAGCTTCCAAGCTCGCGTCTTTATCAGAGGATTCTTTGTTCTCGTCCAAACCCATGTCCTTAGAACAGCTAGAAGGAGCTCCAACGGCTAAAGACATTGCAACCTCAAACGCATCAAAACCCACCAGCGGTCTGAAAAACAAAAGGCAATAATTTGCACCCAGATGAACAAAGATCCAAGAGGTGAGAACTTTGGAGACCAAAATAACAAGACCCAAATGAGGAATTGGCGTGAAGAGAGAGAACCCAAGAAAGGAATTCCTACGGGGAGAACAAAAGGAAGGAGCTTTGCGGTGGATATTGTTGCAGAGGGACAAGAAAGGAAATTAATTAATTTTAGAGAGAGAGAGAGAGAGAGAAGTGAAGACAACGTGAGGATCAATTAATAGGGAGATCTCTCCTCAACTTGATTCATTCTTAGGGCATCTCCAATCCTTTGCCTCAAAATGGTGCAAATTTTGCACCAAAATGGTGCAAAAGTCACATCTAACAGTAATTCATCTCCAACCCATTGCACCATTTTTTGCACCAAAAAGGAATATTCTCAGTATCTTTCTTTTTATCTACTTTTATATGATTATTTTTTATCCCCTATATTTTTAACTATTTCAACAATTAACCTCACATATCAAATTTTATTTTTTCACATATTTTCCAAACAAAATGATTTATTATTTAAAAAATTAAACTAATAAAACAATAAAATATTATATACCTATTATTAATATTGCCAAAATATTACATTCAAGAACACAACAGAAAATAAAATGTAAGAACATAATTAAACATTAACAACAACGTAAAAATTACAAATTTAGTATGCTCTTAACTATCTGAATTAGTGTATTCCTCACATAGATGATCTATCAATGCATTACGAAGCGCAATATGGGCATCTTTATCCTTGATTTTTTTCGTAACGTGCAATAAATTGAGTAAATCTTATAGTTTCATCTGCTACCATATCAACTTCTGGTGTTGGTGCTTCCCTTACTTCTTGAATTGGTGCATAAAGATCACGTTCATCCTCGATTATCATATTGTGCATAATAATGCATGCAGTCATTATGTCATGTAATACATGTTTTTTCCAAAAACGTGCTGATCCTGCCACGATTGCAAATCGTGATTGGAGAACTCCGAACGCACGTTCTACATCTTTTCTACATGCTTCCTGTTTCATGGCAAAATATTTTTTCTTCCTACCTTGTGGCTGTTGGATTGTTTGTACAATAGTAGCCCATTTCGGATATATACCATCAACTAAATAATAACCCATATTATACTCTTTTCCTTGAATAACATAGTGAGCGGGAGGAGCAATACCTTGAGCTAGGTTAGATAAAAGATTAGATGACTCCAGCACATTGATATCATTATTGGTGCCTGGCATACCAAAATATGCGTGCCATATCCAAAGATCATAATCTGCCACAGCTTCGAGGATAATAGTTGGTGACCCACTACGTCCTGTGTATTGCCCAGACCATGCTGTTGGACAATTTTTCCATTTCCAATGCATACAATCAAGACTTCTTTCCATTTCCAATGCATACAATCAAGACTCCTAACCATTCATGGAAAACCACGTTTTTTCCAATATAGAGTAGCCTAGCAATATCGTTAGCGTTAGGTGTTCGTAGATACCGCTCTGCGAATATTTCCACCATAGCACGACAAAATTTTGTCATACTTTCAATTGCTGTTGACTCACCTATTTTAACGTATTCGTCCGTAGCATCAGCTGGTAGGCCGTATGCCAACATGCGAAAAACAGCTGTTACTTTCTGTAACGGTGATAATCCCATTCTACCAAGTCCATCACTTCGTTGTTGGAAGTAATAGTCATGATCTTTCACTGCATCAACAATACGAAGGAACAAACTTCTTGACATCCGATATCGACGACGAAACATATCTTCTCCAAAACGTGGATTATCGGCAAAGTAATCTATGACCAAATTCTGATGCGCATTTTCTCGATCGCGGTTGATCACTGCATGACCGGGAATCGAGCCACCATGGATCGGTTGGTAGTTGTGTTGACGTAAATTGTTAACGAGGATCATGTTGTTGTTGATGTACTCACAAATTACTTCTTCGGTTTCATCAATCTCTGCAATGATATTGGACAGAAAATTATCATCATCCGAAGATGAAGATGATGATAAGTATGATGGACCTCCAACATCGAAATTCATTTTTGAAGTAAGAAAAGAATGACTGAAGTATGCAGAAATGGAGAATAATAATTTTAACACAACAACGAGTAATTGTGTGGATGTACCTAATCTAGTATGCTATTTATAAAACTTTGCTTAGCTGTATACATTGAACAATGTGTAAAGTTGAGCTGATTTTAGGAAATGCTTTCCAGCTGTTATCAATTTGTCACAAAATTCAAATTTGCTTTTAGCTGTATACGTTGGACAATGTGTAAAGCTGACCTGATTTTAAAAATTAAATTCAAATTCAAATTCAAATTCAAATTCAAATTCAAACAAAAAAAACAAATTTGGATTGGCTATAAATAACATTCACGGTTTCTACTTCAAGCCACCCAATTCGAAGTATTTCTTCAAAGTATTTCTGATCTCCAAACAAATCGCTTTTTACAAAAAAATGTCTGTTCGATCAACTGGATACACGGTTACTGAAGATGTGCTCCTTTGTCAAGTATTCTTGGATATTTCTCAAGACCCTATTATCGGTAGAAACCAGTCTCGAGATGCATTTTGGTCTCGTGTGGAGGACAGATACAATGAACTTCGAGACCAAAATTCTGATGTGCGTACGAGCCGATCAATTCGTTCTCGAATGGAAATTATAAGTAATGAAGTAAGGAAATTGAATGCGTGCTTGAGACAAGTAGAGAATCTGAATCCAAGTGGTGCTTCAGATGAAGATATTGTAAGTATTCTATTAATTATCGTCTGAATTTTATTATTATTGTTGAAATACATAACTTGATGTTCACTATAATTTACAGTTAGTTCGAGCAAAGATGTTATTTATGCAAGAACCAAAGTACAAAAAAGGTTTCAAATTTGATCATGTCTGGAATATGGTTAAAAATTTTGAAAAATTCAAAGATGATGTCCCCACAGCAAGACAAGTTGGTCGAAGACAATCCCAAAGTGTGAACTTCGACTCGTCACAATCAGATAATCCCACTCCGGAATCTCCTATATCAACATCTCCTGGATTGTCATCATTTACTCCATCTGAACGACCTATTGGGGTAAAAAAAGCTAAATTGAAAAGGAAAAATGATGATCATGAGTCAAGTGTAGTGGACTCCATCGAGACCTCCAGCAACCGACTTATAGACAGGTTAGACAAGGCGAGCTTGGACAGGCAAGTAGCGTTTGATATCGAACGAGAAAAGATAGCCATGAAAAAAGATAGAGATGAATGGAAAATTATAATGAAAGATTTGAATTCCATTGCTGATCCAAACGTGCGTGAGTACGTTCGAGCTCAACAGATTAAAATAATACAAAAAAGAAATCAACAAGAACAAGGGTCTGCTTCTAATTTTGGCAATTATTTTAATGATTGTAGGCTGTCTAAAAATCACAATAGATAGTTGATCCCTATCAAAACACCGATGATGGAAGTTACAATCTGACGACTTCCAGAAGGCTACAATTTGAAGACTTTCACGTAGATCGCTAAAGGTTACAATCTGACGACCTTCACGACAACTGATGGAAGCTCTAATCAAACAGCCTTCATAATCAACATCGGGAGTTACAATCTGACGACTCTCATATATCAGAGAGCTAAAGCAAAGATTACAAAATGACGATCTTTGCAACGCTTCGACAGAAAGAGACTACAAATCGACGGTCTCTTCAAATCAAACTGTGGAAGTCCTCCCCGCGAACCAGCATCAAGACGCACCATGTTCATAGCTACGAACGCAGCTCAAATCAACCGCTGAACGCAGCTCAAATCAGCAGCTGAACGCAGCTTCAACCGCTGCCTGACGCAGCTCCAACCGACGTTGAACGCAGCTCCAATCCGCTGCCAAACACAGTTCAAATCGCTGCCAAACGCAGCTCTAATCGCCGCTAAACGCAGCTTCCAACAAGATGCAAACGCAGCTTCCAGACACTGCGTTCAAGCTTCCAGACACTGCGTTTGAACGCAGAATTTACACCGGAACGCGGATTTTGCGGTTGACTCGTTCAAACACGAGCTGAACAGTTTCAAAACCGTTTCCCACGATCTGAGGGGATCATAACTCCACTCAGGAGTGATTTAAGGGGCGGTTACATCCCATTAGCCCTACTTAGGAGCGAATTAAGGAGGTGGTTACACCCCTTAATCCCCTATAAATAACTGAAAATCAATTCAGTTCAAGGGGTCGGTTCGGGCGGTCTGTTGGAACTTCTTGGCAGCGAAAAGAGGATCATTCATCCTCCGGTTGGAGCTTTGGAGATCGGCAACAAGATCTTCTTCATCCTTGGCTTATAACCGACTTTCGGTTAAAGATTTTTAAACTCGTTCAGAGTTCTCCACAACGTCAAATCGTGAGGAGAAGACCACGTTCCAGTGAATCAAGATATTCGGATCGTCAACGGAGAGCAAACTCGACGCGAGCATTCGAGGGAGGCACTCCATCGCCACCGTGAAGAACCCAGAATTAAACAAAGGAGAGAATCCAGATCATTCTCTTCTCTTTTGTAATTAGGAAATCCAATTGTAATCGATTTTGAGAGAATACAAATCAATTTTCTTTCGTTTCTTTTACTGCAAATTTTCCACAAACAATGATATTGGACACTCTGGCCCCGATCTACCAGATTATTGAGAGTTGCTTGTCCATCTTAAGTAACGTCACCATGTTTAGTTTGTATTTTATGTTTTATTTTAATGAAGTTTTATATTATGTGTGTCAGTTTTTATATGTTATGTATTTCAGATATGTAATCATCCTATCGCACCTAAAGTCCCCACACAAAACAAAGAGGGCCTTCCCTCTGCTTCTGTTGTAAATATTTGATTTGTTAGTTTGTAATAAGCTTTCTTATAAATACAAACGAAACTCCTTCCTTCGGAAGAATCAAATTTTCACCCTACATCTATCTAATCCAATGGCCTAGATTTCGATGGCAGAATTGTAAATATAGACAAATTTAATATACTGCATTAATGTGAAAAGGGTAAAATTGGAACAATTCATTGCATTAATGGTGATTGATTACATTGGAACAATGATACAAATTTAATACACGTCCTTTAATACTCTCTCTTACATTATAGACAATATATTTAATGAAACAATTGGGGACAAATTGTAAATATATAAAAGTATGAGGTTTAAAAAAAATTGAAAATAAAAATAAAAAAAACAGTAATGGGGGATGAACAGTGCGACGCCAAATATAGCGTCGCGCTGTTCATCCCCGTCAAAATGCGGCAACAAATGCCGCTCGATTGGAGCTCCCACGCAGCGGCATTTTCACTTTTCGCCTCAAAATGCCGCTGCGTTGGAGATGGTCTTAGAAAAGGTGTTATGGGCTAGCGCTCGGCAATTTTTTAAATTATACTTAAAACTAATTAATTAATACTAATAAGTACACTGGTTTTTTTTGTCAATTATGGCTTATGAGGGGTGGTCACGGGACTCATTATCTCGTGACAGCATTAATGTCTATTTATTGTTGATCTTATGGACAGACCAAAGTCATTCTAATGCAGCAAAATTATTAAAGCTGGTTTAAGTGCTGGCTTAATGATATATGATCATTTCATAATTTTTTTATGTTTGTTTAGAAAAGATTAACATTGATAGTGATGATGTTGGCAATTATGATAGCAAGGAGCAATGCAAGGTAGAAAAAGAACACTGCTACATTGACCCAAAATATAGGACCATTGGAGGGGACAAGTGAGTTGTCCCCCTCCTATTGCATAATGAGCCGGCATGACCAAATCATTATGCAATAGGGAGGAGACACCTCATCTGTCCTCTTTCTTGGTCATATATTTTGGGTCTTCATATTTCGGGTCTTTCAGGCATTTTTCGTAGAAAGAAGGGGAAAATAAAGTTAGTTTTGGATTGTGCAAGTGGGGCATGTTGGCTCTTGATGTTTGAAGTGTAATTGATGTTTCCTTATAGACTACAACAGATCCAAATGCCATTTGTCCAAGTTGATAATGACTCTTTATGACAAAAATCTTTAACAACTTTCTCTTCGTTTAGATTCTTGCCGCTTAGAAATATGCAGTGCATACGGACAGAGGATACTGTTGGGCGGTTTTAATCCGAAGTTCACTACAAGTGAATACACTGATACGGTAACCTCGTACTCTTTTTAGTCCCACAAGTTTGCCCCTCGTAACCTATGGGTTCAATTCAATTAGATTGTGAGGCTTACGATTAGTTACGTTCCAGTATCTTGATTCTTGAGGCACGCAGTAGCTAGAGGAGTGATACTAAAGTTTGTGCATCTACATTGATAGCTCTGAAATTATCGAGTCTAATTACATGGATCAAGTCATCAATATGATACTGGAATCTGATGATAGGTTAACGCTATTTATTTTTTGCGGCATAGCAATTTCTAGTCGTATGCTATTTAGCATTAGGGTTAGGTTTAAATTCGTGGTTGGGGTTAGGTTAGGAATGGACTCGGAGTTAGAATTGTAGAAAAAAATTACTGACTAAAATTTCATTGTTATAACCCAATACCTGAACCTAATAGTCAACAATCTTTGTTAGCCCTAACCATAATCCTAATCCTAGCTCTAAGTCTAGCTCTAATCATAACCAAAATCTAACAAGAACTTCATGCCAGAAAATTACATTGGTGTTAACCTGCCATCAGATTTCAATATAGCATGTGTAACTACAAACAATAATCTTAAGGTTACCTAAATAGATACGCAAACTTCGGAGTCACGCATGTTATTACATCATATATGATATTATTGTAATGTAATTGAATCCTTAGAGTTATAAGAGCGACGTCTAATGACTAATTTTCTCTTTAACATCTAAAAATCAAATAAATGGATTTTTAGAATTGGGTAGATAGATTGTTAGAGTTCCTAATCACATACACATTTTCTCATTTAAGTTGTGCGCTGGTTTCAAATTTAAAGTCTTCCTAAATTTGTGATCTAGTGAAGGATTCGGGCGTAACTTGGAAGGCATTGCTTCAGGTAAATATGGTCTTATAATAGGGCT